GTGTGGCCAGCAGGAGGAGGGAGGTGATCGGGCCCCTGTACTCAGCCCTGGTGAGGCCGCACCTCGAATCCTGTGTTCAGTTTTGGGCCCCTCACGACAAGAAGGACACTGAGGTGCTGGAGCGTGTCCAGAGAAGGGCAACGGAGCTGGTGAAGGGCCTGGAGCACAAGTCTGATGGGGAGCGGCTGAGGGAACTGGGGCTGTTTAGCCTGGAGAAGAGGAGGCTGAGGGGAGACCTCATCGCGCTCTACAGCTGCCTGGAAGGAGGTTGTAGCGAGGTGGGGGTTGGTCTCTGCTCCCAAGTAACCAGCGATAGGACGAGAGGAAATGGGCTCAGGTTGTGCCAGGGGAGGTTTAGGTTGGACATTAGGAAACATTTCTTCATCTAAAGGGTTGTCAAGCACTGGAACAGGCTGCCCAGGGAAGTGGTGGAGTCACCGTCCCTGGGGGTATTTAAAAGACGTGTAGATGTGGCGCTTAGGGACATAGCTTAGTGGTAGACTTGGCAGTGCTGGGTTAACGGTTGGACTTGATGATCTTAAAGGTCTTTTCCAACATAAACAATTCTATGATTCTAAGATCCCCTGAGCCTTCTCTTCTCCAGGCTGAACAGTCCCAGCTCTCTCACCCTTTCCTCATGGGAGAGATTCTCCAGTCTCTTCATCATCTTCATGGTCCTTTGCTGGACTTGCTCCACTAATTCCACATCCTTCTTCTACTGGGAAGCCCAGTACTGGACCCAGCACTCCAAGTATGGCCCCAGTGCTGAGCAGAAGGGAATGATCACCTCAACCTGCTGGCAATGCTCTCCCTAATGCAGCCAAGGATACTGTGGGCTGCCTCTGCCACGAGGGCACATAGGTGGTTTGCGTTCAGTTGGGTGTCTACCAGGACCTCCTGGGCCTGTTCTGCAAAGCTGCTTTCCAGAGAGCTGACCCATCTGTACAGGTGCCTGGGGTTATTCTTCCTTTTGCATCTCCTTGTGTTGAACTTCACGAGGTTCCTCTCTGCCCACGCAGCCATCTGGTGCCTCTCTTTCCGGTTTTCATCCAGCCACTTCTTCCAGTTTTCCACTTTTCAGTTCATGATATATGAAGTTTATATCATCTGCAAACTTGCTGAGGGTGCAGTCTGCTCCATCATCCAGGTCAATAATGAAGACAACCTCAAGCTCAAACTAAGAGAAAGACCTGAAAACCTCAATGCAAAACTAAACTTAAATATCTCAGAGTATTGTGTGCATGGATATCTTGTCAGAGTTCAGTCTTACCACACTGAAACGCTCAAGTGAGGAAGGGCTGCACTCTGGCATAGTTTTGACCTAGTTAGTAATGCCACTTCTCAAGCCAAAATTAACACCTAGTTAACACCAGTTAATACAGGGCAGCTCAGAACAGGAACTGAAACATCCCCAAAAATTGCTTCTAAAGAGGGAGCACTTTACCCATGCTGCTCTTCAATTTTTTTGCCCAGGTACCCTTGCTCTCAAAGGGTGTCATGGTATTTTTAAATCCCTGTCTCCCCTAGGCCCATTATTTGCTTTTCTAATGAGTTACTGAAACTCTATTAAAGAAAATATAGACTATTCAGTTTATGTTTCATCATGTCTTGGACAAGTTTCTGCAGTCTAAAGGAAACCAGTACCTGCAGAATCCTCAAATACCAGCACCGAATAATGCAGACACTTCCAGAAATACACAGTTACCAGTAGCTAATCTGCCAAAGACAACCTGGTTTGTGAAGCTTCAGGGACTTAGTGGAAATACCTTAATTCACGCTGCTTGAAATATACGACTACAAAGACAGGACAGATACAAGTTCTGACCTAGTGGGCACAAGGTTCCCAAGAAGAATGAGGACAGCTGCTAGTAATCCTAGATCAGATTTCCTGCTGTCCGGGAAATCCTAAATTTAGGAAAGGGAGTAAGCATGCAGTTTTTATTTTGGTCCCTCCCAAAATGCAACATTTGTATGGATAAACATTTTATACTGAAGCAGTTTTTTTTTTACCCCCAGGCAACAGCACCTGAAAGATAACTGAAAATAGGAGCCTAATACCACTGCGAGCTCTGAGAAGCAATTAGCAAGCAAGAGCGCCGTGGCATGGTGACTCAGGACTCATGGTGGAACTCTGTTTTGGCTAGTGCAGGCCTGACATGTGAAAGCAGCATCCAGCATAGCCGAAGTCAAAAGATAGAGCCAATACTTGGAACCATATCAACAAAGATAAAGAGAACATAGAATCCACTTGCTTGGACCTTGTCGAAGCTTCATATTTCTACAGAACAAGAGATCTGAAAATAAAACTATTATCATTGACAGTTCCAGGAATTCATATGAAGCAGTGCAAAATCAGGAAAGGAACACCTCAATTGCTGCTTACAACCTTCAGGAGTCATAGGCATGAGAAGTGATCTCACAGGTTTTCAATACATGAAAATAATCACTTCAATAATCTTTTAACTGTAGATGTGAAAGAAGTCTGTCCTACTCTCAGCAATGCTCAAAGAAAAATTTATGTCTGTACCTATACCAACACAGGTGGAGCTTTTCTAAAAGCAGAGGAGCAGAGTACATCATCACATAGGGTTTGTTTTGACCAAAAGAGACAAGATACTTAGAATTAAAACCTTAACAAGAGAATCTGTCTGTGCATGTGTCCATGCAAAAACCTGAGCACAAAAGTTTTCTCAACTCCAGTAGCAATAATGCCTCACTGGAAATTATTAAGAGGCCCATGGAACATTTCTGATCACAAAAATATATTCAGCTGCAACTCATTTCCAAATTAGAGTCCATTTACAAGAACAAACACCACATGCATGCCAAGGCAAGGGCTGAAGAGAAGAGTACAAGCTTCAGGGAGAACAGAATAGGCAAGTATGGAGAAAAAGATCAACTTTCCTTCTCCCCATTTTTAATTCATGGTTTTGGAGTCCACCACCAGGTGTTTGGGGATTACTTTTATTTTATTTATTGCTTTATATCACTTATTCAATTAGCTTTTAGTATTTACTCATTAAGCCACATGAAGATAAATCTCTGTCTTATTTTTTGTCCCACAAAGAGATGACAAAAACCTATTATGTTAAAAAAAAAAAAAAGAGCTTCTGGGATAGCCCGCAAGACAGGGAAATCTGAACATGTTCATGGCGTTGCTATGAAAACCCCACAAAGCAGCAGCACCCTGTGACACCAAGTACTTTGTGTGACTTACCAGCAGGCCAGAATACAGACTCCAGTAAAGAGGATGATGGGGATAGGGTAGGAAGCGCACAACAGCCCGTGGTTGTAGAACGCCCGCGATATCCTCTCGCGCAGTTTTTCAGTCAGGGTCATCCTCAACTGTCGTCACCTAGCTGCCATCCCGGAATACATCAGGGGGTCAGGCAATTCCAGCATGTGCAATGCTCCAGCAAAGGCACTGTATCCAGCTGGAAATTGGGAAGAAAGCAAGCCCATGAGAAAAATAAATAAATAAAAGGAAAATAAACATTACCTACTTGTTTTAGAAAGACTTCCAGCATTGTACTTCCTCAGAAGAAAAGGGAGAAAAAGACACCACACACCGAGCAGTTGTTATGAGCCTACAAGCAATTTGATCAAATTATTGGTTTTTGCCTAGGGGACGGAAGGGCAGAAAACATAAGCAGAGACTGAACACCAGCTAAACAGACGTCAGACGCCGCTGCCGTGAGCTCCTGGTCAGAGAAAACACGCAGGAACAAGCTAGGAACCAAACTGTCTGAAAGGAAGGAAGAAAAGGAGCTTAGCAGTAAAAGAATTAAGCAGTACTCCGAGGAGATGCCAAAATGCCAATTAGAAAAGAAGGATTGAGGCTAGCTGTCAGCAACGTGGTCTTAAGGGAAGGGCTCTTGGACACCGACTGAAGCACTTTCAGTGCTTTAACTATTAGCAACACACCAGTAACAAGAGACCAGAACAGGCTTCACAATCTAAAGTAAGTTACTCTTGCGTGGGCAAGGAGGGAGGGAAGCACAAGTAGCCACAGTTCAGAACTAAGCCAGAGTACGCTACACAGTAAAATAAACTAACACAGATACTTCTCGTCAAAACGAGTATTTTGACTTGACTGTAAAACTTACGACTAGGCTGCTCACCAAGTGCAAACTGAATTGCAGATGTCAGAACTGGTCCACTTAAACTTGCAATTTGATTTACAAAGTATAAAAAACTCAATATAAAAAGCCCTAAGAAAAGGTTAAGATAACACATCAAAATAAAGCACAAACCAAATTTCTAGGAAAGATGGTGCAGAAGAAACCTACCCTCTAACTTTTTTTTTTTTAATCTCAGGCTAAATGCAAAGCATGTGGTTCACAACAATGTTCTGAGAAGTGAAAGGCTTGAATGCAAGACAGATTTGTTTCGTACAGTTCAAAGCTATGATTATCCAAGATTTTCATGTTTTTATCTGAAAGGAAACACATACATTTTTCCTGGCTTCTCCAGAATAAGACTGGGACAATAAGAGACCCACAACATATGAAATAAGTCATTTTGTCCACAGGAAAACACCATTAATGACTGCGCCAGAGAATTCCATACAAGACCTAAATCCAGGCTACCCCATTAAAACCAGCTGGTCATTTGACATTTGTAACTCCTCACCTTCACCATCTTAAATGTAAAGAATACCAGAGGAGAAGGTCTGATAGGTTCACACAGGTAAGAAATCCATTAAGGGTTTTTATAGATATCTGATTTAGGAACTCTGTAAACCTCAAATACTTAGAAGCTGGGGGAGGTATCACAGATGCTGTTTTGGTTTATATTCTTTCCTAAGCATCCACTTTCAGCTATATGAGAGAGAACATAGAGGGAAAGAAAAATCCTAAGTACAGCCATTATGCTTTTAATTTCAGATTAAATTCTATTTAATGCCCACAGGACTATTTTACAAGGGTCTACCTATTTTTTCCCCCAGTAATGCAACTAAAAATAATCAGATTTTTAGCAACAGAAGCACCAGTATATTGGCCTAATGACCAAATGGAAAACCTGGATAAATATTTTTGCTCATACCTTTTAGCAAGGCACTACATCTTTCCGTAAGAAGCAATATCACTTTCTTAGTCGCAGGCAATTTCAGTTTTCCTGCAGTCCAGCACCAGCACAAACATTCCAGGATTTTGGGAGGGGAGAGGGATGAGAAGTATGCTCTTGCTGCCTGGAAACCTTGCAATGCAAGGGGCAAGGCTGACAAGCTAGCCAGAACACTCGACATCACATTCATGCAGAATAGAAAGGTTTTGTCTCATAGTCACACAGAGAACCTAAAATATGGTACGCCGCGAAGGAACAGACACATGGCATGTAAGAATATGCTTAGAAGTTGTAGTGACTACATCAGGAAAAGCTCAATATTTAACTTTTAACTTGTTTTGGTCCAGTGGCAAATACACCTGTTCAAACCAAGTCCAAGGCAAATGTAAAAAAGACAATTAAAAGAAATTATCAAGGTGCACCAAAATCACCAGAAATGCAGACTTTCTATGCTAGGTCTCAGGAAAGAGTAGAAAAATGAAAAATTTTAATGTAAAATGTCAATGACAAAGCCATCTTCCAGAGCTGTTCATGGAGTGGGAAATAATGCAGAAAATCCCTGCATACAGAGGCCTACTACTCAGAACAAACCACTGAAAATAATAATCAAAAAAATACCTTTTGAATATATGGCAGTAACTGAACTGAAAATCCACAGTCTGAGTTACCAGAATTGGAAAGGAAGTTGCAAACAAGTATACTGGAACTGAAACATTCAGGGCTTCATCCCACCAGTGATTTTTCTCAGCATGAGCATTGCTAGAGCTAGAAAGCATTACGTTGGGGCTCACAGACAGATCATATCCCTAATCTAAAGGGGAGAAGACAAAAAGCAAATATTAAGTAATCCTTAGAAGCAAAGCCAACACCGAGCACACTGCAAAACCTCTGGTTTTCAGCACCCAGACTCCATGGCTGTCCCATCGCAACAGAAGCTCCAATCCCTTGTGACAGGACGCAAACTAACCTGATTGCCCAGCGTAAGCAAGTAGAGAGGGGAAAAATGAATACGCTTCATATCAGCCCCATTTACATCAGTATTAAAGTTTATGAATGCCGCAAGTGCAAGAATTGGAATTACGAGAAAAGCTTCGAGCACTAGAAGGCAGTTGGACCAGATGATCTTTGTAGGTCCCTTCCAACTGAAATATTCCATTCTATTCTATTCTAACCAGTCACCAGAGTGGGGAGGGGACAAAAAAACCCCAAGTTTAGACTACTTAAAAATTCAAGTGGATATACATAACATACGCAACATAAAGCATAGGTCAAATGTGAAGAAAAATTCTCATCCCCAAGAGACAGCATCACTGTGGCAGCGTTCAGAACAAGGAAGGCTTAGACGGGACACTGTGCTGGCAAAGCTGGGCCACTTCTGCTTCCCTGCTTGCTGCCTCCCACAGGCAGCTGGTGTTCAGTCCAAGACAGGCCTCAAAAAACAGTTTCCTCACACACTGTGCAAACGCCATCCTGGCTTCATCCCCACAGTTCAAGTACGTGGCATTTGATTCTTCACCTTTACCTTAAAGTGCAAATAAACCACCATTTCTGATGCACACAGGTCTCTAGAGCAACAGCTCCTTCCTGTAACTAACAAGTGACCTGGGTGTCCACAAAAATTTGGGTGTTGCAGTCTAGAAAGAAATGAGCAGATCTGATCTTCCTTTAGGGCTGGGTGTCAGGATTGGACCATCCCTTCCGATCCCTGTTCTATGAGTAACTCGAGAACCACACATATTCTGCTTCTGTGGCAGAAATATGCCATGACTGGCTCTTCGACCAGCCTCACCTTCTAACAGCAATTTTGGTTATTGGCATTGCACTGGGAACCATTTCTACTAATTGCAAAGAGGAAAACTTCGTATTTCCTTGCTTCACCTGATGTGAAACATCAGCATTCATTAAGAAGAAAACACTAAGCATTCCAAAGTTAATATTTGCTTATTAGTTTTTTGGGGGTTGCATATTAAATTCTGAAATCTTTATTGACTTTATGCTATAACAGTGCCCATGAAAGTTAAAAGCAGGAACCATTTCTATTCAAAGTCATTTTTGCAAACAAAGATCAGCTAACTCAAAATAAACCCTCTGATTTTAGGACAAATGTTAAAGGAGAATCCATTCAGAGTATTTCTTTCCTTTTGCATGACTGCAAGTCCAAGACAAAGTTTGACTGGAAACAAGCAGACATCAGGACGTTTCCTTAACCTTGCAACACAATACGTTGCATTCCCAGTTCACTTCAGGTACAAGAGACAGATAGACAATGGAGTTCAGAGATTGATCATAGGAAACAAAAGCAAACAGCAGGCTTGAAAGAGCAAGGTTTGGCTTTTAAAGTCTCTTAATTTCCAAACTAAGTTACACATTAAGCAATTGCTTAGACTCTCTAGTCATTCGGTCCATTTACAGAAGCATAAAACATTATTATTGCCAGGATTACACAAATTCAGCTGTACACGAGTGTGATTTCAGTTAAGATGCTTTCCCACACACACGTCCAATGCCAGTGTTTCATTTAGCTGCAGCACTTCCCGTGGTAACTGTGACCTGGGGGCCGGCTGGGGCAGGGGTGGGATGGGGGAGCGAGGATTGGGGGCCTGCGAAGGGACCGTAGGTCCAGGACGGGCACCCTGCACGGAGGTTACTCACCCACGCCTTGAGAAACTGATTTTTCTGTGCAGCCTTGACAAACATTCCATATGAGATGCAACACAAGGCTAAGGCCACAAGTTTGTCACAAACTGGAAATTCAGTGCTGCAGCAGTGCTGCAGACAGAAAATAGAATTCAGATTGTAACAAATTCACAACACCTGGATAGTTACAGAAGAGTGAATTAATCTACCTTGTAAACAGAATCTTTTCCCCCCCGTTCTTGTGTTACACAGAGGAGAAAAGCAATTGCTGAAACAATCCGATTGCCAGTCTAATTGGCAATTTGCTGCAAACCACAGCAGATTACGTTGTATAAAGGACTAAGCACACTTCAGAGTGCTACAGACACACATACATACCACAGCTCAGACGTGCGTGCATACCACAGCTCAGCTGGTGAGAAGGTCCTGAACCAAATCCTGAAAATCTGGATAGCCTGTGACTAGTTGATGTAGCAGCACGAGCCAGGTGAATGCGGGATGCCAGAGCCAGTGTCCTCCACTGCCGCCCAGCGTCCCTCGCTCTCCTGCCCATGGGAGCTGTTCTGCTAACTCCTCCAGGCAGTTTTCAGACAGCCTGGCTGTTATGCCACGCAGGTCAGCTGGAACCTGTGAAG